TTCTCTTGAGGTATCTCATGACCCTCTCTATAGCATTCCAATGCTCTCTACTAGGACAGCTGTTAAACCTGCCAAGCAATCCCACGACATATGCAATGTCTGGTCGAGTGTAATCCGCAGCATAACGGAGACTGCCAATGATGCTAGCATATTCTGTTTGTCTTACACTGTCTCCAGTGTTCTTGAATAGCTTTACACTAGCATCATACGGAGTACACGCAGGTTTACAGTCGAAATAGTTATACTTCTTCAAGATCTTCTCTATGTAACTAGATTGATCTAGAGAATAACCATTTGCTGTTCTAGTTATCTGGATTCCAAGCATAAACTTTGCTTCTCCCAGATCTTTCACCTCAAAGCTCTCTTTTAACATGGCTTTCGCTTCATTGACCACGTGAATATTTGTACCAAATATCAACATGTCATCTACATACAAACATATGATAGTGCAAGTGTTATTCTCTGACTTGCAGTAAATACACTTGTCACTTTCATTCACCTTAAAGCCATGTGAGAGAACGAGAGTGTCAAACTTCTCATGCCACTGTTTTGGAGCCTGTTTCAAACCATATAATGATTTGTCCAACTTACAGACTTTCGAGGCATGTTCAGGGATAACAAACCCTTATGGTTGTTCCATATAGATTTCTTCATCTAGATCACCGTTCAAAAAAGCAGTCTTAACATCCATTTGGTGTACCACGAGATTGTTCAAGGCAGCAAGAGCAATCATGACACGAATGGATGTTATTCTAGATACTGGTGAATAGGTGTCGAAGAAATCTATATTCTCTCTCTGCCTGTAGCCCTTGACTACTAGGCGAGCTCGGAACCTTTCGATTGCACAATCATGTTTCCGTTTCGTTTTTAGAACCCATTTATTACCTAAGACTTTGCAGCCAGGAGGTAAGTCTGTTAGATGCCAAGTCTTATTAGCCTCTAACGATTCCATTTCATCTATAACGGCCTCATTCCAAAAGTCTGCATCTATGGAAGTTAATGCTTCCTGCAAACTTTTTGGATCCTCTAGGGTGTATACTGTAGTAAAGTCATCACCAAAATCTTTAGAGATTCTAGCTCTTTTACTTCTTCTGAGTTCATCCTCAGATCCAACACCCCCACTTGTTCCGTTATCTCTAATAGCGGGTAGTACATTACCCCCACTATTTCTCGTTTTAAATGGAAATCGTGTCTCAAAGAAATCAACATCAATGGATTCTATTACTATACGAGCATTCAAATCATAGAATCTATATGCCTTACTATTGGCCGCATAGCCAACGAAGACACATTCATATGCTCGACTAGCCAACTTCACCCTCTTAGGATCAGGAATTCATACGTAGGCCAAACAGCCCCACGTTCTTAAGTAGGACAGATTAGGTGGCTTATTCTTCAAGATCTCATAGGGTGATTCTTTTCTATTTGTTTTTGGAAGACGATTTAGCACATAGCAAACCGTCAACAAAATATCACCCCACCAAGAAGAAGCAGCTCCAGAATTGAGCATAATAGCCACAACTAATTCTGTAAATGTCCTATTTTTCCGCTCAGCTTTACCATTCATTTTTGGTGAATATGGTGCCGTGGTTTCATGAATGATACCATGTGATCTATAGAATTCCTTGAAGGGATTAGAGTCATACTCTGATCCTCTGTCGCTCCTAAGTCTTTTTATCTTTCGATTGCACTGATTTTCGAATTCAACCACAAATACCTTGAACATGTCAAGGGCTTCACTTTTGTTTTTCATCAAATAAACAAAGCAATAATCAGAGCAATCATCTATGAAAGTGATAAAGTATCTCTTGCCAGACCTAGTTAACGTCCCATCTAGTTCACAAATATCAGAATGAATCAGATCTAAGGGTTCTGATTCTCTACTCACAGATTTATGGGGCGTTTTCGTTATTTTAGCTTGGCTACAGAAATTACATTTATCAAATTCATTCATTGAGAGTTTAGGGATATGTCCTAGCTTGCTTAAATTCTTCACAATTCGTGTGTTCACATGACAAAGACGAGCATGCCATACATTCAAATCACACACCATGTAAACTGAAGAATTCATCTTATTAATTTCGACATTCAACTTGAACATCCCATTACATGCATATCCCTTTCCCACAAAACTCCCATTCTTAGTAAGGGTATACAAGTCTGCCCCAATAGATTGATTAAACCCAGCCTTATTAAGAAGATATCCCGAAACAAGATTCTTCCTTATCTCTGGAGTGTGCAACACATCCTTGAGCACCATCTTCTTCCCAGAGGTGAAGTTCAGCTCCACTTCACCAGAACCAGCAACCATAGTGGTGTGAGTAGTCCCCAACAACACTTTCTTGTCAGCAGGTGCTTCTTCATATGTTTTAAACATAGCACGATTGTTGCATACATGCTTCGATGCACCTGTATCCAGCCACCATCCTTCTGAGTCACCAGTGAGGTTAACTTCAGCGATCATATCTGTGATCATGGCTACCAAATCCTCTTCTGTCAAGTTAACCCTGGCCGCAGCGGCGGGGTTATTCTTGTTCCTGCACTTTTTTGCCATATGACCCGGTTTTTCGCAGTTAAAGCAGATAAACGGTGGGTCATTCTTAGAGGTTTGGGCCATGACCCTTTGGTTACCTCGAGAGGCACCATTCTGGTGGGGGCGGACCTGCTGGTTCTTACCCTTAAACCCTTTCTGGTTAGGTTTAAGAGCTCTAGGGGTGGGTCGTTTAGCAGTGACGACCATCACCTCTTCTTTCATATCCTGCTTGCGGGACTCTTCCTCAATCCTTAGGCGAGTAATCAAACTTTCCAGTGAAAATTCTTTGGTTTTATGTCTAAGCATATTCTTAAAATCTTTCCACTAAGGGGGCAGCTTATCAATAATGCAAGCAACTTGAAATTGATCGTCCAGAGGCATACCTTCAGAGACGATCTCGTGAGCTATTTTCTGAAGTTCGTGGGACTGAACTTCGACAGACTTGTCATCCACCATCTAGTAGCGCAGGTAGCGGCTGACAACGTACTTCTTAGCTCCAGCCTCCTCTGTGTCGTACTTCTTTTGGAGCGCATCCCAGACCATCATTGCGGTGTTCTTGTTGTCCGCATAGTAGTCGTAGAGGTCGTCTGCCAGGCCGTTGAGGATGTAGCCCTTGCATAGGAAGTCATGCTCCCTTTCCTTAGCAGCAGCAGTCCTCTCCTCATCGGTCGCTTCTTCCGGCAGCTCGACGGGCATGCTAGTGAGGCAGTGTGCCAACTTCTTGGTCGTCAGGTAAAACTCCATCTTTTGTTTCCAGTGACGAAAGTTGACTCCAACGAAGCGAAACGGTCGATTGATATCGACAGCACCAGATCCGGCCATGTTGTTCTGTTCAGTCGACATAGCAGCAGCCGAACGTCTTAAAATTGTTAGAAACGGAACAACAAGAAGACCGAGGATACCGAATCTGGAGCTGAGTCGCGGACTAGGTCGCTCTCTTTAAGACGTTCGCGGCACTGCCCTCGATGCGCACGCCAGACTATCAACCGGTCGTCTCCAGGATAAAACAGCTCCTCTGTGTACTCGCGGTTTTGTGCGAAAACCGGAGCTCTCTGAACACTCTCTCTATTGTGTTTATGCTCGTTGTGGTGTGTTTAGAGGGCCTGGGGAGGCGGCTATTTATAGGAGCCGAACCCCTAGGAATATACCCTCTTGCTTGGGGAATAACTTAATTAAAACCGTCGGTTAGGATAAATCCTCTCCAAAAAATATGTATATAGTCTCAAGTGATCCATCCAACCAACCAACCAACCGACCGGTCGGACGGAAGGACGGCGCGCGTGTGTGTGGTGGTCCGTTAGGTCCTCCCTCTCCCACAAAAGTGGGTCACCCCAAGGGGCATGCCCTTAGGAGAGAGGCTCCTATCTTTATACTCATTTCACCAAGTAAAACTACCAATGTGGTAGTTTTTCCACTTGAGACTCTATAGCTTTCAAAGCTATTCATACACATTTCCAACAACAATCAACAACGAGGCTTGATTGGTATATTCTATTCTGGATTTGTTCATTCATAAAGCATTTCCTTGTTCACGATCGTGTGAGCGCAAACGGCTCGTCGTTTCATTTTCAAACGAGGAAGTTGTGTCCAAAATAGTATTGATGCGTAAGTGTAGATTTCAAAATGACATATCTCACTCGTTTGAAATCCAAACTTAGTTCCGTAAAATTCTAAGTGATTGTGAAAGAATTTTCTAACCTTTGGAATCAACATTTGTTTGCAATATCTGATATATCATTCCAGAATATTCGTCATTTCATAAACCATTCAGTGTGGTCGCAAATTTCTTCGAGTATGGTTGAAATTCTTGATTTCTCATCAAACCAAATTGATTTATAAATTGCCCGAGGTTTGGGATGTTACACTCATCTTTTAATAAGAATTGTCATCCATGTGGAAGGCGTGTTGAGTTGTCGTTTACGTGTAGGTCGATTTGATATCCTAGTCAGCTTAAGTTAACCTAACTGATGGGAATTTTAACACCATTAAAGTTTATAACGGAAATGGTCAAATTTGTCCAACGAGTTTCCAAAATGTGGCTATAATTGTGTATTTTTCAAAAAGTTGCTATAATTGTCAAAACGGTGATAGTTATGGCTATGAAGGTGAATTAAGTGTATTATTTATTGATAAAATGACTTTAAATATTAACCGAACCAGGTTAATTACTTAGGGGTTGTTTGGAGGTTGGGATTTCAAGTGAGGTATTTAACCAATACATGTAAAGGTAAGATTAAATGTTTTTTTTTTTGTTAAATTTGAGTTAGAATGCATGTATTACCTTTTTTCTGTGGCCACCTATCACTTAAAATGAATGATTGTCAATATTTATAAAAAAAAGGTGAGATTGTTAATTTTTTTTTCAATCAAATAAAGTATGTTGTTAATATATGCATTGAATCAATACGACAATACACAAATTAATTAAAGTATTTTCTTAACATATGGAGAGAATCCCAACCTGTTTGCCCTTAATTATACGCTCGATCTGGTTTGGCCCAATTATTCCCAAGTTGATAACTCCCGTAAACGCCAATGGAGAGGCAGTGCGCCAAGCCCAACAACTATTCCATGTTTGGCTTGCATCATTTTCTCCGTTCCGACAAAACTTTTCGTGATGAAGAAAACGAGGTTTGTTAGTAGGTAGGTCAATGAGGCCATCATAAACAAACATTTTTATCTGCTGGCCACAGCCGGCCGCCAAATCATTTTCTTGCTTATTTCCGATATATAATCAGCCCGATCCAGAGTATAACGATAGATATCCCATTCAAGTCCACCACTGTCGAAAGGAAGGAGAGAGAGCCCCTGATTGGTTTCAACTCGTTTCACCAAGTCACGGCGACGATGGCGGCGGATTCACCTTTCAGGCCGGAGATACTCAAGGGGAAGGTGGCTTTGTTGACCGGCGGTGCCTCCGGCATCGGCTACGGAATATCCCTCGAACTCGGCAAACACGGCGCCTCCATCGCCCTCATGGGCCGCCGCAAACACATGGTCGATTCCGCCGTCTCGTCTCTCCGATCGCTCGGAATCCCCGTACGCCGTCTGAATCAATCAATTGGCTTTTTCAATCGGAAAATTTCAATCTATTCTTCTAATCCTTCACTTCTTTTCTTGTCTTCATAAGGCGATCGGATTCGCCGGAGACGTTCGGAATGGAGAGGACGCGGCCAGGGCAGTGGAAGGGACGGTGAAGCATTTCGGGAGGCTTGATATTCTGGTCAACGCCGCCGCTGGGAATTTCCTCACGCCGGCCGAGCATCTCTCTCCTAATGGCTTCAAAACAGGTTTGCCCCTCCTCTGTTTCTGTAGATCAAATACGAGTTTCTTTCTTTTACTCTTGCTGATTTACTTTCCCGCCGTTATTATGGTTGCAGTGATGGACATTGACGCAGTAGGAACATTCACAATGTGTCACGAAGCAGTGAAGTATCTGAAGAGAGGAGGAGAGGGCAGAGACCCGTCGGATGCCGGCGGCGCCATAATCAACATTAGCGCAACTCTACATTACACCGCCAGTTGGTACCAAATCCATGTCTCTGCTGCCAAGGTTAGCCACAGCTTAGAGCTCTTTTTACGCTCCTCTCATGTCATGTCGCCATTACATGAACAAGGTTCGTCGACAATGAATGTTGAATCCGTTAGGCAGCGGTGGACAGCTTAACGCGCAGCCTGGCGTTGGAGTGGGGAACAGACTACGACATCAGAGTGAATGGGATTGCGCCAGGACCAATTCAGGACACTGCTGGTGTTAGCAAGCTTGTGCTGCCCAACATAACCAAAGAGAACCACCCACTGTTCCGGTTTGGGGATAAATGGGATATCGCCATGTCCGTCCTCTACCTTGCCTCTGATGCAGGTTTCCTATAAAATACAATCCGTCCTCCACCGATAAGTTTGATTCTGGAATTCCATACCATAACGTGCTCCCTACTCACATTCTTTCATCATCTGCTCTTCTCTTCAGGGAAATTTGTGAATGGTACGACAATGGTGGTAGACGGAGGGCAGTGGCTGAGCAAACCCCGGAGTTTGGGGAAGGACGAAGTGAAGCAGCTGTCAAAAGTTGTCGAGAAGAGGTCCAGAGAAGCACCAGTCGGCGTCCCAAAGAGCAAGCTGTGAGAAACATCATCATCTCATCCTTTCTTCTGTCTGCGTGGCGTTTCCCCAAGCCTGGGATTAGAGACAAAGCATGGCACATTATCACCAGTCACCTCCGGCATATTTCCTGATTATTGTTGGCTTATTTTTCTTACTGCGACCTTATTGATGCTCACTTCTGCAGAATCTCTTTGCAAGAAACTCGCATTAGTTTCAAACACAGATGTATAAGGTGAATCCTGATGGCAATTCATGCAGAAGATACGTTAGGAGTTCTGCTACTATAGTATTTCAATGCCTCATTTTGAACTTCCACAATGAACTCACCCTGACACAAATAGAGCTAGACTAGCATGTTGAGATGAAACATTCAATCTGATAGGTTACGATCGAAACTATCAAATCCCTCTGGAGTTTGTGAGACCAGCAAAGGTTGAAGAATTTGTCCACACAAGAACTCGTGATGGAACAACAATCTGGCAAGCTAGCCAAAAGAAGCAAAAGCTATTCCTTGGATCTAATTGCAAGAAAATATGCATGGACTGCCATCAAGAACAATAGGGCATCTACTTGCAACTCATAACGTAAATACAAGTGCTGTTCATTAAGCATCAAACAACAACAACCACCACAACCAATGCTTCCTTGGCAATGGTGGGCACATCAAAGATACAACATTTACTTAAACCCAAGTTCTTATTGCACAATGTACTATTTCCCCCTTTTCTTTTCCTCTTTTCATGTTCAGAAAGAAAGCAAAAACCTCCGACGTATTCTATACACCAGTTACATACATAAGAGCCTTGAAACAGAGATGACAGTTTTTGTTGTCTACCTGTTTGTCAATTACATAAGGCCCCCCGCTGGCATCAACCATTCAAGGTCTCCAGCTGAATGGTGCTCCTCAGAGGCACGTACTCACCAAGATACCCGCCGAGCTGATCATGCAAGGCCAACTTATCGATCTCCTCGTGATGGAAGCTCTTGCAGACATAGTAGAACACACTCTGGACCAGCAAACCCACCAAATTCACAATCACCAGCACCCCGACGAGGAACCCACCCACCGCGACTCTCACAAACATCCCGTATCTGTCTCCGCCACGAACCACCACGGAGCCAAAAAAGCCCCCAATCACTCCACAGATGGTCAAATACACAAACACAAGCACCCCGGCAGCTCCAGCCTTTCCCTTGAGAAGCTCGTAGCTCTTCTTCAAGGCGGAGAAGCCGTAAACGGGCTCCAGAACGGAGACGACGCTGGCCAGGTGAAAGAGGGCGGTAATGTAGACATGGATTAGGAGGAAGAGGACGCAGATGACGAGGAGGGAGACGAGGACGAGGAGAGGGTTCTCGGTGTCGATGTTGACGAGGAAGACGACGAGGACGAAGAGGAAGACGACGTTGTAGGCGAGCATGAGGAGGACGACGAAGACGAAGGTGATGAAGAGGCGCTTGAGGACCTTGGGGATGGCGGAGATGGTGGAGGAGAAGGAGACCGGCTTGGAGGTGTAGAGGGAGGCGACGGTGAAGACGACGGCGGCGGTGGAGAGGAGGGAGAAGGCGAAGAGGAAGATCAGGTAGCAGAACTGGATGACGAGGAGGACGGTCCACTCGTGGCTGATGGTGGCCGGATCGTCGGTGGGTTGGTTCTCGAGGCGGGAGATAATTGGGTGGGTGAAGAGGGTATGCGCGAGGATGGCGAAGGAGAGCGGGAAGATTAGGGTTAGGGTTGTGAGGTAGAAGGTTTTGGGAGATTGCTTCGGGATTGAGATCGATTCCCCTACAATGTCAGGTATTGAGAGGAATTGGAGCTCCTCCGGCGCTAGATCCATGGCGGTTCAAGGGATTACTGGCCGATTGAGGGATATTAAGAGGAGGAAGAGGAGATGATTTGGTTAAACTGATGAAGAAATAGAGAGGAGGAGGAAATGAGATAGAGAGACACGAGATGAAGTCTCTGGGAATTCTGGATTTGGGATTTTGTTGCAGAAGATGGGAAAGAATGGTAAAGAAGCAGCAGAGGAAGGAAGGAAGGCACCGCTGAATATCGTAGACTGTTGACGATACGTGTTTGGACCTCTTTTTCGTAACGTTTGTGCTTCTGGGCCTCCAAACCGCGCGTCCTTTCCTTCAATTTTCGAATTTCGACTCAACTTAAATAAGGAAAATACTTTTGTACTAGGTTACTAGCTTTTACTGGGGCCTTGGCTGAATAAGTTTTGCTTCATCATTAACATTGGTTAATTTATATTTATATTTAATATATTAATTCGATTCGTTGGTCGGATTTATTTTATTTTGATAAATCTCTTCATGTAAGTTGAGGTTTCTAAAATAGTTAATTCATTATTTCATAGTAATTTTTATGGTATTTTTTGATTATGACATTATCCATAATGAGTTAATATGTACTTGTTTATCAAGTCCTCCTAGTTTACTGTTGTGTATTTTTTTCATATCTTAGAAGAAATTTGTGGACTTTTTATTATCGGATATGAAATTGGAGTTGAAAGAAAAATATATGTCATCTAGAATGGTAGGAATTGATGGTATATAAAAAAAATCAAGAGAATAACGAAAAGATTATGCTTAGAAATCTCAATTATGGAAGAACACGAAAACATAATGCTTATTGAATAAATTATTAGAATTTAGTGTATAGGCTTGATTGAATAATAAGTCGAGGCTGTTAAGTGTTAGATATTAATGCACGTACAAAAGTTACGAAAATTCAACATTATAAAACCATAAATTCTACTCTATCAATACAATCTTTGACTTTTCATGTGGAGTTCATAGCATAAATTGTCACTCTATTATCAATTTTCCTCAAATCTATCCCTTTTATTTTTCACATCAAACATGCCCTTGTAATATATAGTATATATGTATTATCAAATTAAATTTAATCCCTTTTATGGCTTATCTTCTCCATTTGCAACTCCCAATAATTAATAGCCACAATCTCATCCTCATTCTGTCCCGCTTTCTCTTCCTTCGACCTAACAATAATTAAACTAAAAAACATGTCCGTCACGAAAGAACCTTGAAGATCGACTTTTGAATTTCAACCACTCTCTGAAAAGTCCACAATTATTGATCGATTTAACTCAATCACAAAAATTGGAACCCAAATTTTTTAGAATATATGAATTTCAAGTATCAAAGGTTGTCAACCTGGTTTAGCCTGTTGGCCCAGTCGATTAAGTGGGTTGAGGATTAATGGTCTAATTGTTTTAGTCCGCTTTTGCCCAGATATATGAAAAAAAAATTATATTGTTCATATATTTATAAATTATAGAAAATCTCATCTACATATGAATAATATTCTTCCTCGACCGGACTATCTACATTTGTTTCTCTATCAGCTATTTTCTGCTATCCTACTTCGAGCTCCTAAAATGCACTCCAACAACGTGTATTCGTCACGCGATGAAGCTCGCACTCCTATGGTGGCGATGTGTGTCGACAGTTGAATTAATGAGTAACGACCAAGTGGAAATTGAGCATGGGGGTGTTTGCGAGGGAAGATAATATGTGATGGAAGGCGAGTTCTTCCAGTAGTCTCTTTGTTAACAGAATTGACTTGACGGATTGATCTAACCAATTCGCGGAGTGGGAGCTAGAGCAAGAGCTAGAATGGGAGCGTAAGAGTGTATACTCTTCAAGAATTATAATTTGAGTGCGCCGAAAGAGCGTGAATATTATATTATTTTAATTAATATATCATTTAACTTACTAACATGTTTTGGTCAAAATATTACATCAATGCAGTGGAAAAAAATAAAATCATTTAGTAGAATAATAGCTTTAAATAATCTGATTAGGCTGGAAAAAAGAACAAACTTCAAAACGTGAATAGAAACCCAAAAAAATTTACGATACTATTTTGTTTTATTTTTTTTAAAAGGAAAAGAGAAATGAATGCATCGTTTATCCACCCTCATGCACTCAATTAGTTGTTAATAAAAGAGTCTATATCTTTTTCTTCCCTTTCGATTCTTTGTTTCCTAAGCCAACTCTCGAGATCTCCTGTAGATTTACCAAATTGGCAAATTCTATATCATCGGCTATCTAACTAACCTTCTATCATTTTATTCAGCCCCAAGCCTGTGATTTGATGATCTATTTCACAGTACTCATCCACGAACTCATAGTGTATCCTTTTCATCTTTGCTCTCCAAATCTCTGACAGTACCGCATGTATTTCTTTCTCCCACGAAGAAGCACGTCATCGTCTTCGAGCCAAAGCTGTTGATTTGGCTATAACTTGTTTCATTTTACTTTGTTTAAAGAGAGAAAAATCTCTCAAATAAGTGATATATGAAATAAAATTTGCGAACATTGATTTTCGATGCTCTGATTTTTAGTTTGAGAAACAATTTCTGGATTTTGGAAGTTTGTAGTTTCTGTAAAATAATTATGAAGCAAAATTATAATTCCTACTTTCGTTTTCGTTGTAGAAAATTTGAAATGAGACAACAATTTTCTCATTTTAGTATTATATATTGTGTAGAGTGTATATAAAGACATGTCTTTTCCCTACAAATTCATTAGCACATTAAAAAAGGTGAAATGAACCAACTTATTAAACTCTTAATTATTGTTTGATCCAATCATGTCAGAATAGGAAAAGGTTTGAAATTTGACGGTTAGCCGAACTAAAATGTTCAAAGAACCAGTCCCATATAGTTTACACAAAGATATGAATACGATTGTGTAATAGTAGGTCTAAAAATTAATACTAATTTAAGAATTATATATCACTTTTACATATTCAAGACTGCAATTTGATATGGAATATTCGAACCAATGATATTTGGGCCGTGATTTTAACGTTATCCTCTATTTATAAGATATATAGGAATTTAATTAAGTATTAAATAATAATTAAAATAAGGAATTTGGCCTTTGTTAGTCACATAAAGTTTCAACTCAAATGCACGTTTCTTAATAATTTTTGCTTCGTATTTGTATGAGATGAGGTCGACTGGCTCTATGACTGTGCAGCTGGAGAAAAATGAAATTTGCTATTGTGGGATTATGATAGCTTTTGAGATGGTTGGATCGTGTATTGTAGGCTCTCAAATCTAAAGTAAGAAGAAGAGACTATGGGATAATCGAACATGGTCTGTGATGTTTCATGTTGTAGGGTTTTGTGATAAGTAAAAGGATGATATGACAGTGTAGCTACGTATACTAATTGTTGAAAACAACATCATTTTGAAGTGGCTGGTGCTCGAATTAGTTGGTTAAATCGGTTGGATTTTCCACTAAGATAGTCAAACTCGACTTTGACCCAACCTAAGTAGACAACCAACTGGGCCTTCGGCACCCGCTGAGATACTTAGGTTTAGATAGAATTGGTTTGACCAATAGAGTCATACTCGAATTGAAAATCATTGTTATGACTTTTGTCTATGTTTGAAGATACATTAATTCAAATCCCAATATTTGTCTATTTTCTATACAAATAAAGATAAATAATGGCGAAAACAAAAATGTCATTCATACTTTTGCTCTCGCTGTAGGAAATTTGAAATGAGACGAGAATTTTATCGTGCCAATAATATATATTGTGTAGCGTGTATACGTAGACATGTCATTGCTCTACAAATTCATTTTAATACATAAAAAGATGAAATAAACCAATCTATTAAACTCAACCTCTTCTAATGATTGTTGGATCCATCATGCTGTCGGATTAGGAAGATGTTTAAAACATAACGGTTAACCGAGCTAAAAACGTTCAAATAAAGAACCCGTCCCCATATAGTTTGCAGAAAGATATGAATATGATTGCCTCATAGTAGTTCTATAAACTAATACTAATGTAGGAGTTCAACATCGCTTCTACACATTCGATATTGCAATTCGATATGTAATATTGAACCAATGGTATTTGGTCTATGATTTTAAAGTTATTGCCTATTTATAAGATAAATAGAAATTTAAATGGCTTACTTGCAAGTTTGGTCACTCGAATTGCTTAAAAATTTCACATTTGCCACTCGAATTGATTTATTCCATTTATAGTCACTTGAATTAGTTGAACAGTCCAAGTTCAGTCACTCTCCGTTAACCTCAAGTTAGACTCCGTTAATGACGACCGTTAAGTGATGACGTGGCTAACAGAAAGACACAGTCAGCATATTTTAACATTAAAAAACGACGACCCGACCCGCCAGCTCAGCCTTACCCGCCCTGTCAACCATTCTTGCCCAACCCGCGAACCAACCCAATTAATTGACCCGAGACCCAACCCCCTAAAAAGTAAATCAAAAACAGATGGTTAGGGCATTTCCCTTCCTCCAACTTCGTCCTCTCATCCTCCCGCGCCGCCTCTCTCCATCGCACACCATCGAAAAGCTCTTCGCACAAGGAGGCCAGCCACCCTTCCTTCCTCCCCCTTCCCCGCACAAACAAAAAAGAATGGAGCTCACAGATTCACAGAGCAATCCCAATAAGCAGCAGCAGCAAAACAACAGCATCAACAGTTCCTCCCAAGAACCCCACCCTCACCATCTCCACCACCATCTTCTCGAGTACCAACAGTTCCGCTTCGATGGCGGCGGTGGAGGTGGAGGCGGACAATCTCCTCAGCCTCCTTTCATTGGCTCCATCTCCCGTTCTACAACTCCTTGTTACTTCCCCCATGTCTACCATACTCCCACCTCTGCTCCTTCTACTGCTTCTACAACTCCAACCGCTACTACTACTACTACTACTACTACTACTACTACTACCAATTCCTCTTCTTTTTCCCCTTCTCCCGCCGCCACGCCGTCGAATTCCACCCACCATGTCGACGCTTCCCTCGCCATTAGATCTGGGCCGCTGTCGGACTCCTCTGCCCAGAAAAACGAGAGTAGTAACAACAACAGCCTGGCAGTGGTAACAGGCGGAGGGGCAGGGGCGGTGACGGCGGCGGCGCCGAAGCGGTCGACTAAGGATCGGCACACGAAGGTGGATGGGCGCGGGAGGATGAGAGGACGAAGATGGAGGAAGGGAAATGCCCTAACCATCTGTTTTCGATTTACTTTTCAGGGGGGTTGGGTCTGGGTTTAATGTCAATTAATTGGGTTGATCGCGAGTTGGGCAAGAATGGCTGACAGGGCGAGTAAGGCTGAGCTGGCGGGTTGGGTCGTTGTTTTTTAATGTTAA